CGTTGGATTGCTGAATTGAAGAGGGAGGATTTGGCATAGAACTTCTGGCCAGAGAAAAAACACGTAATATGTAGCCAACAATTGGAAGAAGAATGTTTTCAAGATGACTTGGATAATAGCGCGTTGTGACAAACACCAGATACAGCACTGGGACTTGATCAAAAGCCCATACCGCACCGTGGCGTCACAAACCAGTAGGGGGCAGTAGTGTTCTTTGAAAAACATGGATGTCTCCAGTAAGGCACATTCAAATGAAAATTACTCTTAATTAAAAACACTTATTATTTATTGAACAGTATGCAATTTTATACTTAAAGTACTTTCAGAAGTTTTTATTCTGAATGTGACCGGACTTCTTCTTTAAATGACAGTAAGAGGCAATATTTCACCAGAGTAACTTTAAAGCACAACTTCATCGAAATATGATGTTTAAGAGTTATTTAGTGGTCATTGATGGCTATTAAAGATTCAGTTTATGGCTAATAGAGTTGATTAGTATCTCATTGTTACTCAGTATTGCTAATTAAGAGTTGGTTTATGGCTCAAAAAGAGTTTGTTGAGGGATAGATGAGCTTTTTATGTGTCCATGGTGAGATGATCTCTGTGGTTTTCCTTCCTCAGTTACAGGAAAGTGGTGTCTAATAACTGCACAGCTGGAGTGATTGCAGAGTACACGGCCAGGCGACAGCACTGTCCCATCCAGGCTCCAAAAGGTCTCCACCTGGTCACCAGTGAGGGCAGGCTGACAGCTACACTGGGAACCAATGTCACCTTCCTTGTTTTCCTCGAGGAGGTCAGCACATTATCGGCCACACCAGCTGCTCTTAGTGGGCATTTAAGAAGGGAAATTATTTTAAAATGAACAATTATAAAATCAATCTGCGAATGTCAACCACTCTTTTATCACACTTAAAAAATTGTTCCCACACTAAACTGTTTCTATGGAGACCAACAATCTCTGGTCCAATTGAAGTGTTGACATTTTTTTCCACTTATCTCCTTGTTTATCTTGTTCCAAATCAAATCAAAGAACAGACTTAAGGATTCACGTAAAAAGAGCCAATTGATGTACGCTGATCAAAAGGCTTTCAGATCTAAATCATCTCTTAGAATGAGCTCCACATGGAGGGGGAACAAACAAGAGTTTATTGTTCTAATTGAAATCAGAAAAACAAATTGAAAACAGAGCTGTAGTTAACTAATTCACTAACACTAAAAAGTCACTTCAGACGTGAGGGAAAATAAATGGCAGTGTAGATTCTTTGGCTTTAAACTCTCCAGTTTGAGCGATGGCACTTTATGTTTGACACTGTAGCAGGTGAAATGCAGCCGAGTTTGGGTATTTCTTCTCTCAGAATCAGCATTGTACAGAATACATTTTAAACCTGCTGTGAATATTAACTGTTTACCCCAAGTATTTATTTTCAGAGCAACTCCAGAAACAGACCTTTATTTGAAAGCACAGTAAGAAAGCTTTGTACTGGAAAAAAATCAAAATCTAGATAAGTCATTTTTTCTTAAAATAAGTGCATTTCTTCTTAAATTGAGGAGATTAAAGAGATATTTTTCCAATGGAACTAGACAATTTAGATTTAAAATAAGAAAACACAATTGCACTGTCTTATTCCAAGTGCATATTATCTAATTATCTTATTTTAAGGGTAAAAATACTAATTCCATTGGCAAATGATCAAATTTACCTATTCAAATCAAGGTTAAATACACTTAATTTAAGACATTTTTACTTATTTCTAGATCATTTTTGCAGTGTGGTGCTGTCTGACCCTCATTAACTCATTGGGAAACATTCAAGGACTAATTTTGCTTAAAAAAACAAACTACATTTCATAATTTAAAGCTTAAATTGTTCAATGTTTGTTTGTGTTTTCAATGTTGCATAAAACAATTAAAAACGTGTTCAAAGTAGTATAACAAATGCTGATTTAAAACGGAATTTTGTGTATATAGACGAATTCACAACAATGTCATCATAATGTACTTCTGTACTAAAACAGCTCCGACTCAGGTTGCTTGTTTCCCTGTTCCTGTCTAAATATGGGCAAAAGTGCATCTTTAAAATAATCCATAGGAAGATAACTTTCTCTGTTATCTTAAAATTATGAGAAGAAAAAGACTTTATTTGCTGTAAATAAGTTATTTATTCTTTAAAATTACAGTGTTTTTACAAAGGACATTTATATTTACACTTTGGAAATCCCTTAATTAGAGTAACTGGATGCCTTTTTATCTAAAGATTAAAAATAAAGCGTTTTTTTATGTGCAGGGAGACGGAGCGAGGACAAGCATCACTTTGGACTTTGGAGACGGCCACGCCCTGACATACTCCAACGTCAGCTCCATCGAGGATGGCATCAAACATATTTACAAATCCGTGGGGATCTACAGGGTGACGGCCACTGGGGAGAACAGCCTTGGCTCTGAGACCGCCACGCTCTTTCTGCACGTCACATGTACGTTATATACATTTTAAAAAAACACTGCTTTCATTCAGGGAGAATCCTCCTCCATTTTTCCAATCTGCCTCATTTTTAGCCGTTTCCACTCTTTATCACCTTCTGTGGAATTGCTGCTGTCACTTCACAGCGTTATGGGTTTTATCTCTGCCTAGAATGCAACCAGAAGCAAACAAACAAACAGAGATAGAACAAACCTCATTACGCTTCCTCACTGCCTTGTGTCCATGAAGCCTTACTACTTCTGCTCCATTCAGAGGCTGATGGATGTAAGGCCTTTTGATCAGGGAGCACCTTTCCACCAACAGTCTGCCATCCTGTGTGTGCCAGCCATGCATAGAGTCACTGTTACTCCAGAGGGCCAAGGAGGATAGATGTTGCACAGATGGCAGCTGTTGGTACAGAGGCAGAGAAGAATTATGGATTCATTTCCCCCCCCTTCTAGTTTTAGCTAATGAAGTAATTTCTGTTATTTTTTTTGCATGAAGTAGGGCGTACAGTTCACTCTGTGATGTATGTGTGTTTGTGAGCAGGTCAGCTGGAGCATATCCATCTCTCTGCTCCCTTTGTGGCGGTGAAGAACAAGGAAGTGAACCTGACCGCCGTTCTGCATCCCAGCCAAGTGGGAACGGTCACCTACATCTGGTGGATCGGAAATAACACAGAGGTACGGCTAACAAGCCCCCACCGTTTCTCTCTGTGTCCATTTGTAATTAAGAAGTAGGTTGCTGAGTCTGTTATTCTGCGGAGCTATATTTGTTGATGCCGGCTGCAGAAAAATGTGGCCTTGTTAATCAGCACTGGTAAAGTTGTGGAATTTGCTGATTAACCATAAACGCAAAAAGTCTCGATTGGTTATGGAGAAACTAAACACCTTTTTCTGCCGGGCACAGCAGAGCGGCTCGTTCAGGGAAAGGCTTTGTTGAGGCGTCTTAGTTTGTTATTAATGAGGTAGCGCACTACATAACAACAGATAATGACTTTTCCAGCTATGAAAAGTTTTTATTTGAAATAAAAAATTTAATTAATAATTAGTTTAGTCAGTTTAATTATTTTTTTATTTTTTTATTTTTTGAAGTTTAATGAGAAATTGAACAACAAACCGTGTTGTTTGCACTAAACAGGTAATTAATGTCGGAGATGTTTGGGGAGGTCATGAAAAGCTGCCTCATGGCTGCGCTTATAATGGGATGGTTGGACGTATTTTCTATTGTTATTGATCATGTGTCTTCGGGAAAATAAATGTTTTTCCAAGTAGAAAAAAAATATTAACCCCGGAATAAAACCACGGTTCCTTATGAAGCAGTCTTCATGGGCTGAAATGCTGCTCAGAGAGGAAGAAGCCATACTCCAGATTACTGCATGAATTTTCACTAAAGAACAAGTAACTTTTTTTTGTTTTCTATTTGTCCCATGGACTGATTAAACTAAAGTACTGTAAAACTGTTTTGGAGAATGGTTGTGATTCTGAAAAATCATCAAAACTCAAGAACATGATTGTCAGTGACATGTGCGTAGGGATCTTTGCTGCAAGAGAGTTGTTTATTACCCCAATGGAAATATTGAAGCAATGGTCACTTTTTCCATGACCCAAAGTAAGGGTTGTTCTTCTTTCTGAAGACAAAGCACGGATCTATCTGACATTCTATCCATGCTGTCAAGACTTTGGAACAACAGAAGACCAAACCTGCAGAGATAAAATTTAACCAGCTGGATCAATCCATGTTTTTCCAGTTGGGAAACAGGTTTTCAGGCTGAGGAGAGCAGATTATCATCCCAAACCTTCTGGATCCACACAAGGAGACTGAAGTATAAAAGTTTTGTGTCACGTGGTGCCAGATGCTCCGAATGGCTTTACCATATTAACAGGAGAAGCAGCACAAGTCAAGTTAGACACTGTCTGCGGACAACATGCGTTAATTTATAAAGGTTTTGAATCAGGTTGGGTCCGGATCCGGACCCTGGTCCGCTAATCTATCACCTGTGGTCCACAGCAATTAATTATTTTCAATACACTACAAAGAGGACCAGTCTTCTATTCAATTAAAGATAAAGTTCAACTGCTCAACCCACTTAATCAAGTTGCTATTTAGAAACATACATTCATTTAAACCAGGCATTTCCAAACTCGGCTTTCAAGTAAAATCAGCTGTGCTGGAGCAAGGAAACCTCTAAAACCTGCAGGACAGGGGGCCTTGAGGACCGAGTTTGGGAATGCCTGATTTAAACAGCACTGATATATAAATATGCTCATGCAAGTGATTTA